TCCTTGACTGTTCAGAGCAGCCCTCTCTCCCTGACAGAGCAGGTGCACCATCTGGCAATTTGAACTTTAAATGCTGGTCCACAACGCTGCAGCACTGCAGGCGTGACTCGTGTGTTTATATGAGATTGAAAGCAGAGCACAGAGAAGATACTGGATCCAAAGGTATGCAGGCTCCAGAGGGTTTCAGTTTGTCTCTAGCTGAATAGGCCGGATCCATGTGACACACCCCTGCTGCGTCCCATCTCAGCACCAGGCTTAACTGGTCCTCCACCTTCACGAGGGAACATGAAAGTCTCCCGTTTCCCCCCACTGACAAAACACTACAAAGTTCACCATAATATTAAACAGTTGTTTTACCGAGACCCCGCCCGTCCGAACAATTCGTTCTCTTTGTGGAATGTTCTGGAAAGGTTCTGTCAGAAAGAACAGGAGTTCTTCATCTTATTAGTGTCAGTGAGACTTGAGAGTGAAGCAGTGTCAAAAATTGGTCAAACCTGGTTTTCACAGGAGACATTAATAAATAATTTTCGATTAGATGGGGAAGGCACTCAAAAAATCAACTGGAAAATATGAGAACTAGATGAGGTCCGGTTAGGTTTTCAGTTAATTCGCCTTTATTTTACGAATAACCTTTGTTTCGATGTCAATCGTATCAAGATTTGTAACATTTCAAATTGTTAAGTTAAAGATATTCTCCAGATTTTCTCCAGAAAATATACACTATCAAATCTTTCAATGTAAACTCCGACTGTTCAGCAGTATTAGAATTTTTTAACTTCTGATTTTTTTTTTTAAAGAAAAAGTGTGGGATACAGTTAAATGTTCCCAAAAACCAAGTAAGCATAGACTAGTTTGTTATTGGTGGTTTTGTTAAATAAGACCATATTTGTACATGTTGGCTAACATTAGCTTACTTAAGCAAAAATGTGAATGCTGATATAAATGGTGGCATGGTGGTGCAGTAGTTAGAATTCTTGTTTTTATACCATGGAGGTTGTGGGTTTGAACCTCCTGGTGGGTTGTGGATTCTGTGTGTGTGTTTGCTGCCATGTTCTCTCTGTGCTTCCATGTAGTCCGGCTAGCTCCCACGGTCCAAAGACATGGTTAGGTTTATTGGTGAGTCTAAATTGGTAAATTGGTAGTCTAACACATTTGTTAGCATACCAGACATGCCACACATAAGAAATTTACCTTTTTTCCTGAATAAATCAACTTCTATAGCAGTTAAATCTTGTCTTTGTTAGTTATGGCTAGTTTAAATATAATAACCCTGGATTGTCCAAACTTCATATACTTGTCTTTCTTCTTCTCCTCGCCACCTCTTCTCTTTTGAAAGGCCACAACTAACATAACTGATCCTTTAGTTTCCACCCACTGAGGTTTAACTCAACCACTGAGATTATTCTTGCCTGGATAGGCTATAATGTCTGACTGTAAAACCTAAACCCCTACTTAGTCCCTCCATTGTGAAGAGCTGCATGTTTTAAATACAGCTGCCACTTTTATGCTCCACAAAACTAAGATCTTGAAGAATATTTAGGTCTTTCTAGAATATCATCCAAGAAACTATTTCAAGAGATTAATAAAATGTTGTTGTTTTGTTTTGTTTTTTAAATAATCTGGAACCCTGCCTGTTTTTAATTAGCTGTTAATTAGTCTTTCACCCTTGGTGGCTTGCACTGTGCCAGAGCAGAGCGTGTAACATCATTAGCCTTTTCAGCATTAGAAGAATATTACCTCCGCACAGAGCTCACTCTGTGATGCTATCTACGATGCTATCCTTATGGTTGCTTTGAAGCGTGATCCTAAAGGTTTTTCTTTCATTAAACACAAATCTTCTTGACAGGACACCTTCCCTCCTAATTTGGTTTCTCATAAGTCAGGTAAAAACACTGTCGTGTTCATGTGCCTGTTCTTCATTAGGCACCAGACGATGCTCTCACTCGGATGATACAATGTTTAAAAATACCCAGCTCTCCCACTTCAAGACATTAACCATGTAAGGCAATTTACCTAAACATAGTTGGAGTAGAGAGCGAAGAGTCGTGGGAAACTCGCCTGTGACTGAAGTGGTTAACTCGTCTTTATTTAAAGTTAAATACTCCAGGCTTTTTTACGTGGCCAACGCACCAAACAACAGCCTGGGATGAGAGCGAGGGGTGCCACAGAACAGCCACTCTCCTTTGAGATGAAAGGCTCCAGCCTCAAAAGCATATGTCACACAATAATGAAAATGTGACTTTAGCCGAAGGCAATGGAGCAAAGTATAGACAACCTGTTTGTTGATTAGAGGAGGGAATGCAAAGAGAGCTCAGAAAGGGTCAATAGAAGGAAGGAAATGGAGGGTGTAGATCTACAGTGCCCCCCACTCCCACCCCCATACCCCCTGCTCTCAGTGAAGATTGAAAAAGTGATAAATATGCATGAGTTTGGCTTCGACAGTGAAGGCCTTTGATGGTATGGTTGAGAATTCTTTATCTCTGGAGCAAATAGGCTGAAAATAACTGTGCGCATCTGAACAATGTTCACTTTTAATGAGTAGAAAAGAGTCCGTAGGAAGACTTTTCCATACTCTATGCATTTAAATATACCCGCATGCGGCATCTGCCTTGAACATGTGCACTGTGCTCACAGCTTTCCTTTAAGTGTGTTGATTAAAGTTAAGTGAAAAATCATAGATCTTTACTGATACATTATAGTGAGATTCATTTCAGTGGTCATTTGTTCTCCAGTCCTCGATGTTCAGACTAGGGGGGGGGAAGTGATTTCAAGTTTGCACCATTTTATGAGCCATAAAATCTAAAACTGTTTTAGAGGAGTGAAAGTGCCAAGTTGTGACCACAGAGTGTACATAAAAGATAGACATAGAGCTACCCTGGTTCTCTGTAGTACTAATGGCCTTCTCCATTTTAAGTGACAGTTGATGATCCAGCAAACTGGGATTGAACTTGTAAACAGTAGATTTACAGCGAAACCAAGCAAAGACTGCATACAAAAAATAGGAGCCAATATGGAAATGTCCAACAGGAGGCAATTCATTTAATTGCAAAAACATTCCTCTTGTACAATGATGATTCTACTCCTCATGGGATTTATGACCTCAATAAACACTTTCATGATGACTTCATTCATTCATTCTATTACTTTATTCAAGTTGTTTAATACAGCATCCAGCCAATTAGAGAAAGCCTTATTCTGGCTGGTGATTCACAAATCCCTAATATTTAAGCTTGCCATATCCTGGATTTGTCAATCAGATCCAGTGCTTGGTTATTATTATTGGTTTCAAAACCCAATGTGCCAGATTGCTAAACTATGGGTTTCAGAATCGGTGTACATAAACCTCAGGGGTAGGCAACTCCAGGCCTCAAGTGCCGGTGTCCTGCAGGTTTTAGATCTCACCCTGGGTCAACACACCTGAATCAAATGATAAGTTTATTACTAGGCCTCTGGAGAACTTCAAGACATGTTGAGGAGGTAATTTAGCCATTTAAATCAGCTGTGTTGGATCAAGGACATCTAAAACCTGCAGGACACCGGCACTCGAGGCCTGCAGTTGCCTACCCCTGACATAAACCAACAGGTGGCATTATGGTGGCTCTGTCTACTTTGTATATGTTGTCTGTGGTTGAGGAAGTTAAGGGATTTGTTTTTTTTATTCTGATATTATGTAAAGTGAAATCAGTGTAGTGACCTTTAAAAGGAGCTGCTACTCCAGATGTCAAAGGCTGTCTGTGGGGAAGGCAGCGTGTGAAAGCAGGGCTCAGGGGAAAAGGAATAAACTCTGAAAACAGCTTTAATGCTGTTAACATCATAAGGGTTAACTTGCAAGAGTACAAAAAGTTCAAAGCATCTGCAGAGCAGGAAATCTGGATCTAGCAGGAAATAAGGATCTCAGGAACAGAAGCTAAGAACCGAGGACATGGAATAACAACACTAGAAGGAACTTGTATGAAGCATCAGGAAGTGATGTAAAAGAAATAACTGTGGATAGAAAGCTAAATTCCAACAATGCAGAATCCTAATCAAACCAAAAATACATAAAAAAGAAGCCAAAAACTCAAAACCCAAAGCACGACAACTGTGGTTTCCCTGAGCTTAGCTTCAACCTCAGGCAGGACTGCTGAAGTAACGTCTTTATTTACACCCAACCACACGGACGTTTGACATTGCTCAACACTTTTAGAGCACATACAGTTCATAAAATTAACAAATGACTAATCCTTAGTAATGCACAGGCCTGGTGTTCCCTCAGCATGGTTGGTATGTGTGGCAGCCCAAGTCCTAGCAGCCCAGCATTCGACTGGATAGATTAGCACAGCACAACAACTCAGCTCATACTGGCCCTGCTCCTTAAACACTCCTTTCCCCAGCTCCCCCTTTGCAGCTGTACAAAACCGCACACTGCTCCCACCCTTTCAATGAATATGAACCTCTCCCCCTCTAAGTTAAATCAGTTGATATAGTCACAAAACAGCATTTGAGACTTCTAAATCCAAAGATCTGAGTGATTTCAGACGTTGGGTTTTGCTTCTTCGTCCTCAAGTCTGTTTGGGTCTCCACTGTAAACGTCTGGCATGTGATCTTATCTAGGCGTTACCTTGCGTGGACTTTGCTGCAGCCCTCTCTATATCAAGAATTGCCCCTACTGCACATGTTTCTAATACAAAGAAGAGAGATTATGAATGTTAATGTTAAGCAGTTTGATGCTTCTAGCAACCTTCTGTGCTACTTAGAAATGCATTTGAAGCAAATATTTTGCAGCAGCTGTGGTTATCTTTTATAAGGTGTGTTTAAGAAACTGATTCCAAATGTTAAAAAGTTTTCTTTTTGGATCCTTGAGGCGCCGGTGTGGACACAAGAGATCAGTGTGGGCTTGTATGTATCTGTCTCTCTCTGTGTTTAATTTAGTAGAATTGGGAAAAGCTTCTCGTATGACAGTGTTTAAACAAGCTTATTTGTATGTTATACTTAGTCAGCTTTCTCTGTGTGCCTTTTAGACCTGCAGGCCTCTGAGTCATTTGAACATTATAGTATATCAGACAAAGCCATGGACTACAGGCTGCTGCAGATGGATGAGGACCAGGACAGGATGTATGTGGGCTGCAAGGACCATGTTCTCTCCATGGACATCAACAACATCACCCATGGCACACTTAAGGTCAGCAGATGCTTATTGTTGCAGTTAAAGAGAAACGCTTTATGCCATTGCAGCGTTGGTATCATGGCGCGCTATTTTTTTTCTCACAGGCACAAAGAAGAAAACACGAATGTTATGTAAAAACACTGTGTAAGAGACAACACAACACCACTGCTGAGGATATTATTGTAATGTGTGTGTAAATTACCATGCATTTGCTATCCTCCGTACACTTTAAGGGTTTTTCAAAATAGCCATAAAAACGCTCATGCTCACTTATAACTAATTCCGCATGCAGCGAAGGAATCATCTTCTGTGTAATTGACAGGCATGAAGTGCATAAACAGATGGGAAAGCATTTAGGTTCCCCCAGAGAGTGCTGCACCGCATCCATTTTTGTCAAGTAAATTGCTTGATATATTCATTGAGAGCGACCTTTAAGCACCTCTCCCGGGTTTGAAAACACACATTTCCACAGATGATAGCTAGCTGTAATCACTGACACCGAGACTTGTGTGGAAACTAAAAATGTCCGAGCATTCATTGTACTCATTTTGCACAGTGTTTTTTTGCCCATGTACTTAGGATATAATGAAACCTCATGAGCATATTGATGTTATGCCTCTTTCAATCTGTTAGTCGCTAATTTAACTGATGTGCCTTTTTTTTCTAACCATCAGCTGTTTTGGCCTGCTTCAACAAGCAAAATAGAAGAATGCCAAATGGCAGGCAAGGACCCTACAGTAAGGAGAATAAACCTCTTTGATTTCTTGATTTATTTTAGACTCCCACTACTGTAATAACACATTACAGCATAGATTGCATGTTGTTCATTTACATGTTTTTAGCATTCAGCTAAATACAAACACTCTATATAAAAGATAGTTTTGGTCACCATAACATCACCCTGTGTTTTGAAGCTTTGAGTTTAGTGTTGTGCGTATCACCGTGTTGGGTTTTTTGGCACCAGCAGTGACCAAATTTTAACAACAATAATTTATCAGTTAGCAACATTAGTTTGGTTAGCAAGATGTAGCTATACAGGGAGTGCAGAATTATTAGGCAAGTTGTATTTTTGAGGAATAATGTTATTATTGAACAACAACCATGTTCTCAATGAACCCAAAAAACTCATTAATATCAAAGCTGAATGTTTTTGGAAGTAGTTTTTAGTTTG